TGTGTGTGTGTGTGTGTGGTGTATGTAGTTTAAAGTGTTTGGTTTATAGATATGTGTGTGTGTGTGTGTGTTGTTTAAAGTGTTGTCTAGTCAGTTTTGACTCTTACTGACCCTGTTTAGGGTTTCCAAGGAGCAGCTGGTGGGTTTGAATGACCTTGTGCTTTACAGTCCAGTGCTGATCCTACAGTACCACACACTAGGAGTCCGTGTCTGTATATGGATTGCTGCTGTAAGTGCCATCGAGTTAATTCCAACTCCTAGCCACCCTGTATAGGGCTTTCGAGGAGTGGCTGGTGAGCCTGAACCACCAACCTTGTGGTTCAAGCTGACCTTGCAGTCCCGTGCTTTATCTCACAGCGCCACACCAGGACTCTATGTATATATATAAGATAGTGCCCAAAATTTTGTCAACTGAAAACCAAGTAAATTTCATGGAACAAATTTCATTATCTTTCATTCTATTTTCCCGTGAGCTTTTTGAAGCCCTCTCGTATACTGATAAAAAGACAAAATGGTACTAGATATACATAGCACAGTAACAGATGCGGAACATTTCTCTGGAAACATGCAGAAAAAACTGGTGACCGTGGTTCCTTCTCAGAAGAACCAAGACCTGTGCAGTCAGGAATGGGAGGAAAAGTCTCTTTTCTTTTTTTTTTTTTTTTTTTATATGCATGTGCTTTTCAAAATACAAAAATTTCTATTTAAAAAAGCCAACCATGCACACTAGAGAGATTAGAGCTCTCTAGTAGAGCTCCCTCCAGTAGAGATAGTAGCACTGCAGTGACCGGAAGAGATTGCAGACGTCCATTAAAGTTGGGTGGCTGGGTCTGGCATTTCCTGATGATGTAACTGACACTCTCCAGCCTGCCTTCCTACCTGGGAAGGAGGGGATATGTATCTCACAGCTTCAATCAACAACAGAAGAGCCAGTCAGTCAATGTGAATTGCTTTCTTTATGAGGAGTTAGGGCATACAGTACGAGGGAGTTTCAAAACGTCCATGGAAAAATTTCATTCTTGTTTTCTTCCATTTTTCCACAAACTTTTTGAATCCCCTCCCACATATATTAGAAACAGATGTTTATTTGCTCTGCCCTCAACCAGAGGAATATTGAGGAGTAACCATTGACAAGTCTGACAGATACGGATAGAAAAAAAAGTAATTTATAAGAAGAATTTATAAAACAGGTCCAACTGACTGTATCTTGCATGTATGTGTGTGTGTGTGTTTAACGAGAGGGAAGAATCGAGGAAGGAAAAGGAAGCAAAAACAGAAGAAGAGACCTGGGGAAGGAAGGGGGTGTGTAAGCCTTGAGAGACTCCGGGGGCTGGGTCTGACCCTGTACCCCGTGGTGGAGAAGCACAGGTCCACTGTCCTGCTCCCGTCGTAAATTATTTCAGGACACGTGAGCCCGCAGCTGTTTCAGCTCCTCTGCTGCACATTCTTATGTGGGGAGGCAAGGGCTGCTTTCCATTTGCTATCTCTTCATGAATGTGTATTATAAGACAGTCACCTCACTGGCATTCAATGTTGGGCCTGGGTATATTTGGGGTGTCTCCTGGTTGGTATGTGTGGCCACATTCCCATCCTCCTTTTTGTCTCGTTAAATAGCAGTCAGGCCTGTCATAAATTCCAACATCTCCAAATGCCAAATCTTCTCATTTTAATTTGGATATGTGAATGCATGTAACTTAAAATGAGAAGGAAAAAAAAAAAAAGACTAATCTAAATTTAAGTTAAAGCTGTTGTTATTAAGTGCTGTCAAGTCGGTTCCAACTCATAGCGACCCTGTATAGGGTTTCCAAGGAATGTCTAGTGAGTTTGAACCATCAGCCTTGCGGTCCAAACCCACCATGTCCTTTATCCCACAGCACTGTACCAGGACTCCCAAGTTAGAGCTAGGAAAAGTCTTACTGGTTTAAGGTGATTCTTAGAGGCTGTTGTTGTTCGGTGCCATCAAGTCGGTACCGACTCATTGCTACCCTATGCACAGCAGAATAAAACACTGCCCAATCCTGGGCCAACCTCACAATTGTTGCCACACGTCAGCCCATTGATGCTGCCACTTTACCAATCCATCTCGCTGGGGGTCTTCCTGTTTTTCATTGACCCTCCACCTTACTAAACATGATATCCTTCTCCAGCAACTGGTCCCTCCTGACAATATGTCTGAGTATGAGAGACGAAGCTTAGCCATCCTGGCCTCCAAGGAGCACTCTGGATGCACTTCTTCCAACACAGATCTATTGGTTCTTTTGGCAGCCCATGGCACTTTCAATATTCTCCTCCAACACCATAACTCAAAAGCATCAATTCTTCTATGGTCTTCCTTGAGGCTGTAGCAGTTCTGAATTCCAAGGAATGTCCAGAGTGACTTGCTTCAGATAGGATTATTCTTTGTAGCTTATAAAATTTCTGTGTCTCTTCATGGTGGTGGTGGTGTGCCATGGAGTGAGTTCTAATTTATAGCGACCCTGCATAGGGTTTCCAGGGCTGTAAATCTTTGCGGTAGCAGAAAGCCTCATCTTTCCTCCCACAGAACGACTGGTAGTTTCAAACTGCAGCCCAGCTTGTAACCACTACACTACCAGAGAAAAACCCTTGTTTATGTGTTTCTGTTGGATTATTAATATCTGGATTAAATATAATGTTAGAATTTATAGATTAGACCATTAAACCAGAAGTTAGTTTTCTGGTTTCTTTTCAGAAAACATGGTAGGCAGAAATTAGGTAGTAAATAATGATAGCCAGTTCTCCATAAGAGGAGCCTTGGCACAGTGGATTAAGCAGTGAACTGCCAACTGAAAGGTTGGTGATTTGAATCCACCAACCACTCCACAGAAGCAGTCTGCTTAGGTAAAGATTTATAGTCTCAGAAACGTTAGGGAGCAGTTCTGCTCTGTCCTCTTGGTGCTGGTGGTGGTGTGCCGTGGGTCAGTTCTGACTCAAAACGACCCAGTATAGCTTTCCGAGGCTGTGAATCTTTATGGGAGCAGAAAGCCTCATGTTTCTCCTGCAGAGCAGCTGGTAGATGTGAACTGCGTACCTTGCGGTTAGCAGCCCAGCGTGTAATCCATAGGGTCACTATTATTCAGAACCGAACCACAGCAGTGAGTGGCTTGTGGTAGGTAGTTCTCTCTAAAACATGAAGGAAGATACCCAAGACCGTGCTACAGAAAGTGATCTCTCACCAACTTTAATCCGGTGTGGCATCTCTAGAAGATGGTACGGGTTCAGGTGAGACACTTTATACATAAACGTGAGCAGTTTTAGAGGCACAGGTGAAGACCAGCAACAGCCATTTCTTAGAAGGTGAATTTTCTTTGCAAATATTTTGGGGAGATGTATGTTTAGGATTGAACCAAAACAACCCCATGTTCTAGCTGACATTTCATGCAGTAGTAACCTATGCAAATTAATGAAGCACAAACGAGTTTAGGACATTTGTTCCTGTGAAATTGGGCCCGTCCATAAATAAGAAGATGCTGTAAAGCTTATTTAAGGGTTCCTGTCAGGGTCTCCTATTCTGCAGCGTTTACTCACTACATAGTCCACTAATCCTTTTCTCCCCCCTTCTCTTTGCAGGTAGACCATACGATAATTATGTACTTGATTGGACCCGACGGTGAGTTTCTGGATTATTTTGGCCAGAACAAGAAGAATGCAGAGATAGCTGGTTCCATCGCTGCGCACATGAGGCAGCAGAGGAAGAGGAGCTAGCTGTGCAGTGCTGTTGGGCAGTGTTCTCTCGCTGACGAGGAAGGCAACGCGGCCCCCACAGGAGGCAGTCTGCATGCCCCTTACAAAACGGCCTTCATGCTTTGGGAACATCTCTATTTCGGCCAGGGCCTGTTACCTTGGGGCTCATCCAGCATAGCTTTGGGAACTGTAGAGCTCACGGGAAGACCTTGCGAAGCGACCCCTCGGAAGGGCACAGCAAGAAGAGGCCCAGATGTATGATCAGCCATGAGGTCAGCGTGCCCTGTGTAACTTGGCTGTCTAGCCAGTGTCTTGTCTTGGACGCTTTCCTTACAGGCTGTCGGACTGAACTTCCGTGGAAAGAGTGTGATTTCTACCCTGCTCTTGCGTGCCTCTTTGAATTCTAGTCGCTGATTTTGGGGGGAAACAGTCAAATTAGACTCTCCCCCATTCAGATTGAATCTTTCCACTAGATGTGCCGCTCTCCTTGTTAATGTCAGTGCCATTCCACTGCCAACACGGGCTGTTTTCACTAATGAGAAGAATTGCATTTTGGAAAAACCGCCAACCAGTTCCATGTTTAGGAGTCATGCATTGTAAAGTCAGTAATGTGCCAGGTTTTCAGGGACATGCTAAATGGACACAAGAGGAGATTGGTCATGACTGTAATGCAGATTGTTTCTCTACATATGCTGCAATTGGCCGTGTGGACCATAAAGACGTGTTCAGTTCAGGCAGGGACCCACAGATGTGAGAGGAAGAGCTAGTGAGCTAGTGGGGTACTTAGCACAGTGCAGGTTCACGGACTCAGAGCCAGATTCATAGACGCTGAGGTAGGACATGGAGCGCCTCATTCAAGACAGACCTCTCAGGAAACTCAGATGCTGGTCTGCAGACTGCTTTGGAAAATGGTGTTCCATGGGGAGACTTGACAAAGCGCTGGGCATACACTTAGCTGTTCAGGAAAGTGTGTGGGTGATGAAATGAATTGTCGGGGACTGGCCTCGACATAGGGGTTCGGTTCATGAGGAGGAGATACCTGGCGGCGGTAAAGATATAGCAAGAATACACAGAGACAAAGAGAGAGACAATGAGGCACCCCAAAGCCAGGGTGGATACCTCACTGGTGGGCAGACTTGGGAGTACAGGCATCGTGGCCTCTGCAGGCAGCAACTCACTGCCCTGCCATCTTTACTGCATGCCCTCCAACCCGTAATGCACTGCAATCCTTACTGCATGCCCTCCAACCTGTAATGCACACCTGGGGAGGCCCGGGCCTCTGTTTTATTTAGGGGAGGAGCTTCACACCAAGCTGGGAGGGACTAAGGCAAGGTACAGCTAACATCAGTACTTTTCCAGACCTTCAGGTAACTTTACATCATACTTCGCTTGTTCGAATCCCAGGCCAGCAACTTGGTTTCTCAGACTCAATTAACATATCTATATAGCCCTTGAGCTCAGTTGGGGGAAGGTGAGAGGTAAGGACAAAAGCTTGGGCGGAATCCCGCTGTTTCTGCTTCCTAAGCCAGGTTTTCAGGAACTTGGCTGAATAGCTAACACTTGGGAGAGATTCAGGGAGGATGGCTTTTTTGTCTGTAGAACAAAGAACCAAGAAGTAGCTAAGATATTTTTAGTTAATCCTTGCAACCTTTAGTGTTGGCTTTAGGAGGTTTTAATATTTCTCTGTGGATAATAAGGGCTCATGTCTGCATTTAATTATAACATAACCGAATACTAAGATGATAAACAATTTGCTATTGACTGCCAAGTGGCTAGATCTGTTACACTCGGGCCTATAGGGCCTCGAACCTCTGACCAGGCCTACACGGTCTGCAACGATGAATCTTGGCTTTTGTTTCTCAATTTAACTTCTTGGGTATCTGGCCTTGATGTTTACCATTTTCCACCTTCATTATTGTGTGCCTTGTCGAGTCAGTCAGTTTCAACTCCTAGCCACCCTGTATAGGGTTTCAGAGGCTATAACCCTAAGTCTTTACGGGAACAGAAAGCTTCATCTTTCTCATGCAGAGCAGCTTGTGGGCTCAAACTGCCAAGCTTGGAGCTCGCAGCCCAGCACATACCCACAATATATCACCCCTGTATAACTTTAGCTGTTCCCTAAAGGAGAGATCTCTGAATGTCTGTCAGTAAAACTGAAGGTACAAAAGTCTTAATACTTGTCACCCAGTAGATGCCCACTGCCCACCAGTTTGTTTTCACATGCCCACAATACAGGCATGCTTCTAATCTCTAATTCCCTTCTCAATACTTACATTCAGCTTGGATAAAGAAAACAGATAAGCACTCGACTAGTAACTGAAAAGTTGGTGTGGTTCAAACTCACCCAAAGACACCTCACACCTCGGAAGAAAGGTCTGGCAATCTGCTTCCAAAGGTCATGACCTTGAGAACCCAGTGGAGCACATGGCTTCATCATGACTGGAAATAAACTAAATGGCAACTAGTTTTATCAAAATAAAAATTCATGGAAAAGAAAAACACTAGCCGTAATTTCTTTGTGTAGATTTCTGAATAAGCAAGTACAGGATTCAGTTTCTGTACGCTACACATCAAAAGTAATTGGTTTGGAATGGCTTTTCCCAAGACCCTTGTCAAGAAAGGGAAGAATTTACCAAATGAATAGTCTCATGTAACCAGAGAAATACTAAGTATCTGAAATGCCAGGCATTAAATAACACGGTCTGTTTTAAGCCACAAAACATTTGTGTGGATCACTGCCACAACTTGCACTTAAATAAAATGTAGACTTCATTCTCAGCTGTTGCAGGTTAGAGCTTGTGGAATGGTCCAGAAAGGGAACAGCAGCTTTTGAGAAACTGTTTCTTTCTCATTCCAGTGTCAGGTTTAAAGGCTTGGAGGCAGGGTGTCAAAAGCAGGGAATGGGGCCTCAGAGAATCTCATCTAAACTCCTCTCTGTGAATGAGGGACCGTTCAGGAGCAGTAAAGTCTTGGCCTGACCTTAAATTAGAGCTTGATCCCAGTTGCTGCTCTCTCTGCTACAACGTGCTTATAGGAGGACTACAAGCATCCACCCAGAAACAGGATGCTATGGGCTGGAGCTACTTGGCAGCCCAAGGAATTGTGGGAAATCAGAATCCAGGCTGCTTCTCTGAACAATATCACATGTAGATCCTGCGCTGGGTGTGTTCTTGTGTTTTCACCAGACTCCAGTGGAATGAGTAGTTGTAAGAAGTGCTGTTTGCTTATTTGAAAATTGGAAGAAACCTCCCAATGCAGACATGCAAGCGCACAATGCATCGGACTGTTTAGGAGACAGCTGCTGCTCAGGTGCCGGAGCTGCTGAGATTACCAAGTACCAGGCCGATGAGCATTAAGTGCCCATGTGTTTACGGAGGGTAATATTAGCCCAGTAAATTGATACAAAATTACACATGCCTTCAAGCGTTGTTGTTGTTATGTGCCATCGAGTCGGTTCCGACCCATAGCGACCCTGTATAGGGTTTCCGAGCATAGATGTTTTAAAATACCTTTTGTTGCATTCAAGAAATAAGAATGTTCAAATCACCCATAACTGCAAACAAGTTTTTTTTATAGGCTGTTGTGAAGTGCCATCAAGTCAGTTCCAGCTCACCAGTCGTGTATAGGAGCAGCTAGTGGTATTGAACCGCCGGCCTTGTTACTAGTCCAGTGCCTATCCTATAACGACATACCAGGACTATCCTATAACGAAATACCTTTAAAAGTGCAGTCATATGCCTATTTAGCAGATACTTTTAATTTGGGGTGTGAGTTACCTTATCTGTAACAATGTGGGAGGTTGCTGTGTATTAATGAAGTGCAGCTCATAACCTTTTTAGCCATGTGTTCCTTTCTACACCTTTAGAACATTAAGTGTCGTTGAATCCGTTCCGACTCATAGCGACCCAGTACCAGGTTTCCGAGGAGTGTCTGGTGAGCTTGAGCTTAATTCAGTCATTCAGTTGAGTCAAACTTAATGCACTTTTCCTTTACAATTAGTATGAAGCTTGTTGGTTTCCAAACAACTATTAAGGAGAAGAGTCATCTTCAAAGTTCTTAAAATATAGTGCTTTGGAGCCACCGATATCAGCAAGAGCTTTGACCAGGTATATGTTCTCTATCAGACTGGGTTCTTTTCTATCAAGGATTCAGCTTAATAATGAAAAGTCACCCCCACTTTGAGATGTAACCTCACAGTGGCTGTCTCTTCCTAGGCACCAGTTTCTGCGGCTCTGGACAGGGTTGATTGAACTCTGTACCCATCTCTGACTATACTTAATGTTTCATGAGGGGCAAATGCATAAAATATCCCGAATGAGGTTTTCTTTCTATAGGTCGGGGACAGCCAGTCTGGAGATGAGCTTTGCTTGGCAGCCTGCTCATTCAGCTATTCAACAAGTACTTACGGGGCACCTGCTATGTGTAGCACTGTAGGATAAGCACTGTACTGCAAGGTCAGTTTGAACTGCAAGGTCAGCAGTTCAAACCACCAGCCGCTCCTCTCAAACAGGGTCATTATGAGTCAGAACAGATTTGATGACACACAACAACAACCAACAGTAGCAAAAGGAGCCCTGGTAACTAGCTGGGCTGCTAACCTGAAGGTCAGTAATCCAAGTCCACCAGCCTCTACACCGGAAAAAGATGAGGCTTTCAGCTCCTATAAAGGCTTACAGCCTGGGAAACCCTGTACAGAGTTGCTGAGTCCATGCAAACCTAATGTCACGTAGCAGTAGCAGCACTGTGCTGTGTGCTGGGGATACAGACGTGAGCCAAACAAAGCCCCTGCGTATAGTGAGAGAGATTTCTAGTGAGAAAGACAGACGAGCAGCAAATATATTGTGCTACCCTGAGCTTTAATGTGGTGTCAGATACTGATAAATGCTGTTGTTAAAAACTCACCAAGATTTGAACAAAGTGCATTCTCAGCCGTTACTGTACATGCAGATAACCATTGCCTTTGAGTCCATTCCAACTCACATGACTGGACAGGACAGTGTACAGCTGCCCCACAGGCAGAG